TTTTTTTTCTAAAATGTCTTTTACATATTTCAGTTGCCTCAGGGAAATTAATCAGTAGTAGTTTAATGTAAATAGATTTTTAGAAAGCAGGTAAATGTAGCTTAGTTTTTGTTTAAATCTAAACTACTTCCAAACTATATGTGTCTTCAGGCTTTCATGTCAGAATTCTTAGCATTTTCTTTGTCAGAGTCATATTTTCTTGTTCTATTTTATTGTTTATTACTCTTTTTTTCAAAAAAAAAAAAAATGCCTTCCAAACTTCCCTGTATGTCTGTGACTTGTAAAGACCCAAACAATTACTAGTGGATCATTGAAAATATTTAAGTTATTTAGGGATAATGTACATGTAACTACTCCAGGAATATAATCAGAAGCTTTTCCAGCGGTGGAAAAGACTTACTTAATTACACAAAGATTCCAGTCCCTCTCTTCAACTTTCCTTGTTTGTAAGGTGCTATTTTATTAGGAGAGACACGCAAACTGTATTCATGGTTAGACAGTTAAAAATATAAATGCTGTAGAGGTGCACTGATATATTGATCCATATCATATCGGCACTGATAAAAGGAAAATTGACATTATCAGCCATCAGCTTTTTTTTGGCTGGTGTTGTTAATATTGTCACAGATAAATGCAACATGCATGTGCACAGCTGCAGCACGCATGCAGCGAGGAATACAGCCTGGCAGCTTGGGGAGCAGTGTCTGGCCAGTAAGTCTGTGGGAGGGGGGAGGAGTGTGCGGGAGGGAAGGGGTGTGGGGGGTGAATTGAGGGAGGGAATGGAGCAGGTGCGGCTCCTGTTGCTGTGTGAATCCCCAGAGGAGGCATGGGGGTCATGTGCCCCCTGGATTTGTGCATGGAGAGAGGGCAGACTGCCTACTGTGGGCTCGGGGCCTGGAGCTGTGTCAGATTCTTTCTGATGGATCTGCCGGCCAGTAAGTTTGTGGTGGGGAGGGAAGGAGCGTCGGGGAGGCCAGATTGGATTTCACTCTTTTGATCTGCGGATATCACTCTTGCTCTGCACCCCCACACCCCTCCCCTTTCACTCTCCCCTTCCTCCCCACAGACTTACTGGCTGGATGCTGTTCTCCAAGTTGCCAGGCTGCATATCAGCTATTGTATTGGTATCGGCCGATATGGCTCGTTAGTAATTGGCCATCAGTATTGGCCAATAAAATCTTTATCGGTACACCCCTATAATGCTGTTTGCAGTGGTACAATTAAAAATAATGAGTACCTGTCACATAAGTCATTGGAAGTCAAGTAATGGAAGAGTTCTTCATCTGCCTTCCTTACCCTAATCCAGTACTTATGTGATATTCACACACTGTCACATAACTATCACTGAAATCTTTTATAACATTACTTTCTTATACTGATATTATATAAAAAACTAATAAGTGCTAAGTGAACTAAATGAAGTATGCACGTTAACCAAAATATAAAAAATTAGTATGGAATGTTTTCATAGACTAGGTGCCAGAATGTCAATAAGTCTTCTGTGAGTTTAATTTCACTGTGCACACACCCTTTAAATCAGTAAGGTTTGGCATACTATCTTCACCGTACTTCCTATGATTATTATAACTTTAGTACAAATAACACATCTCTTAATAACAAGTGCAGTAGTCACTATGCCCCCTGGCATACATTATATTAATGATGCGTTAGCATGTTAATTGGACCATAAATATCAGCACACCACATGTGCAAGTTATTTAATGTAGAACATCTTTGGTTGGTTTGTATCACGCTTTAATTTGAACGTATGGCATGATCATACAGGGGCAAGATCCTGAGATTGGGAAGGTGTTTCTTGTGCCTATATGCAGCCCAGCCGTATGTACACCTGTGGCCATCCCCTGCTGCCTCCCATGGCTAGACTGTATGGTATGTCTTTCAAGAGGCAGGATGTGGCTGTGTCTCAGAACAGCGACCTGCCCCCAGCCTGGTTTACCTGCCCCAAGACACAGCCACCCCCTGCTGCTTGAAAGGCACTTGGTGCACTCTGCATACCAGGACATTTAAAGCCATGTGGCTTTAAATGCATCATGCAACTTTAAATCTCTTGGTGTGCCTTTCAAGGGACAGAGGGTGATTGTGTCTCAGACCTGCTGCCCTCTACATGGTCCCACTGATCACCTGATTGGGGGGGGAGGTCTGTCAGGTGGCAGCTCTTGGTCTGGAATATGGCCACCCCATGTCCCTTGAAAGGTGTGCCATAAGGCCTGACATTCCCAGGTTCCCTAGTGCTAGCTGCTCATTGAGTCTTTAAAGGTCCAGGTGCAAAGGGAGTCCTGGACTGGGAGACTAGTTCTCTGATTCAGGGCTCTCCCACTCTGCAGTTGTACGTTCCTAAAAAGCATATGTCCTGCCGTGAATATGTGGCATGGCAGGATGCAAAAACAAACTGTGACCCTGTAAACACCGTCTTTCCTTGTTTTTAATTGTGGGTATTCATACAAGAGGACCTCTCAACACTTTGAAAATAGGGCCCCTTTTTTCTTAATCTGATCTGCTGTACTAGTCCAGGAATTTGGGAAAAAATCTTTGTAGTCAACAGGTAGAGATAGATAGAACTTAGACTTTTGATGGTAGCCCCCTTCTATGTATACTATAAGGCAAGTGGACCCCTGGGGGTCCACAGACTATGTCCAAGGGGTCTGCAAAAGATGACTATGATCAATCAACAGTATGTGAATACCCACACTTACAATTCAAAGGGGTCCACACCTCCATTCAAAATTTTTTAGGGGTCCACAAATAAAAAAAGGTTGAAAACCACTGCTATAAGGGGCTAACCAGTTCACAAACCTCAGTTGTTTGTCTCCAGCAGGTGGAGCATCAGTACCCCTTCTGACTGACCTGAACAAAAGAGGGAAAGGAGTATGCCTCGGAGGCGTGGGAGACTTTTTAACCACATGTCATATCTCCCTTTACAACCTTGTCCCTGGGTTTTGGAATGAAAAAGTCTTCCCAATTACCAAAACTGCAAGTGAATGCCACCTTCCAAATATTACCATTATTAATGTAAATACCATTTTTAATATGATTTTTTTTATATATGCAACCTCTTGTGCCTCCAGACTAGCCTGGTACTTATTAAAGTCTATTTGAAAGGGGGCCGAGAGGAATTAGAAGGTAACTCTTCTCTAAACCCCCTCCCCCCACACCAGTAATTTATAGTCCAATGCTGGCCCAGTCATAGGATTGAGTTTTATATCTGTTAATAACACCCAGGCTGAGTAAATGGTTTGTCTGTCAAGATGAGAATTAGCATTCTTCTGTTTTGAAAAGTTTGCTCATAACATGTTTTATTAAAAATAACGCACACCAGAAGGGTAAGAAAACTGACCCATGTGTCTGGTAAGTATCTTGTTTTAGTCATT